TTGTGGTCCAGAGTTCCCAGTGTGGGAGGTGATTTCTTTGTTGCCTATCTCCATGTGAGGTATGCATGGTATGTGCAAGGTTCTTCAATGAAAAGAACAAGTCAGTACTTTCTTATGGGACTCCCAACTCTGGGAGCTCTTCTCTTTGGAGAAGTCTATTACTTTTGCTCTTCATGTCTTTTGATGATTTAACAGAAGTAAAAAATAAACTCCTAAATCTACTCAACTAGTAAAGCTAATAAATGCCTGTGGGTAACACTGGCAGGCTTAGGACAGGAAAGGGCTAGGCAAGGAAAGGAGAAGCAAGAAAGGAGTTGGAGATGAAAGGTTATAAAAAAATAGCCTCACTAATTAGAACAAAATTTTTGAAAAAAAGAAAAAAATAGCCTCAAATGTCTTCCACAACAAAAGATGCTTGCCTGGTTTAAAATTATCCTCCTAGGTAACTCTGGATGCAGAAGGTAAAGGGGGAGTGATTCTAGGTTTACTCATTTCCAAGATTCTCATTCTAGAAGCTGTTATGTAGTTATAAAGGTACTAAGTACATAAAGAATGGTTATATACAATGCTGGGATCAAAAGTTCTGGATTCAGCTCATACAAACTTCATTATCAAATTTCTGTCAATACAGATTTTCATGTCAAATGTCCATAACAAAACCCCCACACTATTTAGACTCTACTCAAAAGAAACTGCCTAGCTATTAACAAGAAATGACAGAAAAAACATATCCTGCTTTTTGTTTGAGCTTCTTTGAACACCAAGATCCCACAAAACCCACAGAAACAATGCCTTCACTAGTTATACTTAAGCTCATATAAGGGTTGGGGTTGGCTCAGTGGTAAAGTGCTTGCCTGGCAGGTGTGAGGCACTGGGTTGGATCCTCAGCGTCACATGTAGATAGATAGAAAAATAGTTTTAGATAGATAGATAGATGTATTGTATCCATCTACAACTAAAACTTTTTCTTAAAAAAAAAAAAGAGAAAAATTAGTTTTAAAAAAAAGGGTTATATAAGGGTACAAACCATCCATGAGAAGTTTAGTGGCTAGAGTACAGTGCTAAAAAACCCTAGGTTGAAGAAAGAATTGAATTCTGTTAGTTAGCTGTCACTCTAATGAAATGCCTGAAATAATTAACTTATTAAGAGAAAATGTTTATTTAGCTCACAGTCCTGAAGGTTCCAGTCCAAGACTGGACTGAGCAGAAACAGAAGTAGAAGAAGGGGAAGAGGAAGAAGGTCCTTTCCCCTTTCAATCACAGTGGCCAGCTGGGCATAATTGAAAGGTTTGATTTGAGCCCTTTTTAGTTTTTCCAATTCACAGTACAAGAAGTGATGTCTGTCCTAGTCATCCCTCTCCCTGTCAGTATTCCAAAGGGATTCTGTGACTTGGATGGCTTGGTCACCGTTAGGGATATCTCAGCTTCTTCCTGACATTGTCACCTTTCCTCCCTGAGATGTATAGTAATCATTTCCAGTTTTAATGGCCTTTTCTAGGACCCTTGGTCTTCCCAGAGAAGGCAGAGTTTGTTTTGAAAGTAGCATAACATCTTTTTATGCTAAGTTTTAAAGATTTGACAGCTGTTGGAAGGTTTGAATATGTTGTTCCAGGTTTTTAATAGAGCTACCTAGGTTCTTTTTTATGACCTTTAGTTCAGTCAGTGGGAAAGGAATGTGTATCATCTCTGGTCTAAATTCTTCCAGCATTTGCCTGAGGGGAAATACACCCTGGGTGAGGAGGCTCTTGGGAGTCCCCTAACCATGGGAAAGGTTTGCCCTGGGTAAGGAGGGCATGGTTTTGAGCATGATTTCTTTATCTTTAGTCCCATTAGATTAGGACAAAAGGGGGAGAGGTGGGCTTGGGAACTGGAACCTCCTCTTTGGGTGGACCAAGTGGGCTCTCCTTTTCATCTGATGAAGGCTTATCATCCCCCAGTAAGAGATTTTCCTTGGGTGGGTTTGAGGGGTTCAGTTTAGAGCAGCATACAGTTGCCAAGGTCTGAGTGTCAAGTTTACAATCTTTTGCTAGTTCAGGGTGATCTCTCAGACAAAAAAAAATATATAGATAAGGAACTTCACTCTATTTACCCCCCTGTTTATAGAATAAGTCTAGTTGTTGAATGGTACTATAGTTTAGAGACCCCTCTGGTGGCCACTGTTCTCCATCTCCCAATAGGTACTGAGGCCAGGCTTCAATGCAAAAGAAAATCAAGGATTTTTGTTTTAATGGAGGATCTAACCTATTCCAGTTTTTGAGCAGACAGAAGAGAGGTGAGCCTAAGGAATTCTGGAAGACTTGGATCCCATTTGAAAGCAAAAAGAAAGAGGTCTTGATGGGGGTCTCACAATGCCCATCTCACTGTTTTTTAAATTCGGAAGGGCAGCCCTGGTCTGGAGATAGAGACGAGCCAGGCTTATTCGTGGCCTGAGGTCCAGATCCCTGATATTTCTTTTTGTAACCAAGATATCTTTGGTGTCCCCATTCCTTGAATACATGTATCTCCCAAAGTACAGCTGATGCAAAAGGATTGATGGCTGCCAGGAGGGAAAGGATTGGTGGAGAGGGCACCCTCTGGCAAACGATTTTTGTCACCTTTTACCTAGGGAATCACTTGCCAGCCCAGTGCAAAAAATTCCACCCATGAATGTGGTGGTGAAACCCACCTAGTCCTTACTTCCCAAAATGAAGAAGATGGCCAGCTACTATCATAGCTGCCTCTTCCTTTCCCTCTCCCCATTGCCTTTTTATGTCTCTCATACTTTTGTAAGATAGGAGAAGTTGATAGCTTAAATATCTCAGACAGGCAGTTCTTCTATACTGGGACAGCTCTTCTCTTCTTGCCATGGATAGTTACTCCAGCAGAAGGGACAAGCAATTAGTGGAGGACATAAATAACCGAGTAGGAGCCTTACATCTGAAGACAGCATTCTCTTCCACAAAGAGAAGAAACTGTACCAATGTTCTCTAGCCCAGTGGAGTCTATCATTTTGGACCCCCTCGGAAGTCAGAAGGAGTTAGTCTGGTAATTCAGCCATGCTAACCATGGGAAGGGCCTTCCCCAGCCTTAGAGAACTAAAGAAGTACAGGATTATCAATGGTCACTTTCCCAGTCTCATCAGACTTTTGACATGACTATTATAGACCTTTGAGCTGGTCCCTGATTCCAGATGAGCCCCCAGTTTTGCTACCATCTAGGGATTTCTTCATTGTCTGTGCTCAGCAAAGAATTGAAAAACACGACACAAAGACAGCAAGCAAGCAGCAGGGTTATTGTAAGAGCAAAAGTAATAGACTTCTCCAAAGAGAAGGGGGTCCCAGAGTTGGGAGTCCCATCAGAAAGTAGTGACATGTTCTTTTCATAAGTTTTGAGCCTTCCTCCTTTGTCTATCTCCTTCCCTTTCCATGCTTCCCTTATTATCACTCTTTGGTACCTCCCATGTCCATGGGTCTATTTTAGTTCTTCTGTTGGATACCCTGCTTATGTCCACCAGTAAGGAAGTGCACCTGATTGTGTCCCCTGCTCATGTCCATGAGCACTTTCATCAGCTAGGAAGTTGACCTTATGGGGGACCTCCCCTGTTCTCTTACTGTCTGGACCTTCCCCTACCTCCCTCATTGCCATCTTGTCCTGACTGCCTATGCACTTCTAAATCTCCCTCAGAAGTAGGCACTGAGTGGTATAGGATGAATGACTCACTCATTCATCAAATGAATGAATCAGTAAGCAAAAAGATAAATACAGTTGGCCAACATTTGATCCAAGTCAGTGCCAAAGACTCTGGCTATTTCAGTCATCTTAATAATCTGATGTCATCTGCAGGCTGAGATTCTGGTCATGGGCTTCCCACTCAGCAAAGTGGACTGAATCTGACTATGCACAGAATCTGATCTTCATGAGGGGATAGGACAAGTTCCATGCTTTTTAGAAATCCTGGAAATTAAATGGAATAAATCTTATCTATAGACTGCATGAGAGGAAGGTGATCAGAGTAGATTTTGCTTTTTCTGATTCATAGGGCAGTCCTGCTCTGGCTACCCCCAACCCTTTTATTATGGTCTCTGTTTAAGAAGAGGGGACAGCAGAACCCACTGGCCTGCTGACACTTCAGAACCAACCCTGCACCCCTGCAGGTGATGGAAGGCCCCATAGCCATTGTAACTAATGGCTGGCATTGCCAACCCAAACAGCCTGGTCTGTCCCTGGATGGTTAGGAGGACAATACAAATAAGAAAAACAATCTGATGATATTTAAAAACAAAACGACCAACTGGCTACATCTGGACTCAATAAAGACAGCCCAGTCTTTTGTCCTGTATACATTAATATCTAGTGACCTCTATGAGGATCAGTGTTTCCAGTAACAATGTCTCAGAGGCTCTATAAGATCTAAAATCTTCCTAGAGTCAATCATGTTTAGAGTTCTATTCTTTCCAAAACTGGAAACATAGACTTTTGTTTTTATAAACAAAAAATCTAAATGAAAAATTCATTTTACTCTATTCCCTGAGTTTCCAAAGTTCATTCCATCATAAAATCTGGTTTCTTCCTATACAAAATAGGGTCAGAATCCTGGTAAACTTCTAAATCCCTAATCTAAAGAAATTCCATCTATGAATCGTTATCAAATATGGTGTTTAGAATATTTCTTTTTTCTAAGAGTAACAGGAAATATCCTAAAATGTGAATTTTCATACTTTAGGGCCATGCTAACAAAATCAATCACAACCTTTGAGTCACTCCAAAAGCATCCATTGAATTATAATAACATATGTGACACTTTCAACTAGGGGAGAAAATATCACTGCAACTGGGAAGATTCTCATATCCATAGAAACACATAAAGTTTTGTTAAAGTGAAAGAACAAGTTGTTGAGAGGAAGGAAGGCCCAAAATGTCTTGTAGCAAGATTTTCAATCTGGTAAGATAATCCACATTATGACATAGCATTTTAGCTGGTGTCTGATTTTGGGCCCAAATAGGACTCGTACACATCTGGATTGATCTGGTGAAGGGTAGACATATCTAATGAACATAGGTTTACATAAGAATTGCAATTTGTGGCTGAAAGAACAAAAGAGGTCACATGTACAAGAGGGATCAGACTAGGAACAGAGCCCAGTATGATGCCCAGCAGCTGGTTAGACATGAGAAACTCAGAGGACACCTGTTATTTAGTAAAATGGACACGCTGCAAAGAGAAAGCACAGCTAATAGGAAGCATCGTGGAGTGGAAGCTGAGGTCTCAGCTTAACCTCTCTCCATGTAGATGTTGCTGCTCCACTCTTCCATTTTCCCAGTAGTTGTAGAATTGGTTTGGGCTAGATGATTCCTCTGGAGTTTCTAGCTATAATGTTCTCAGGCTCTCAGGAGAACTGTGAGCAGAAAAAAAAAAAAAAATGTGGTAAGATGGAACATCAAGACCAGGAAATGAGTGGAAAGAAAGAAAGGCATGGGAAAGAAATAGGTGGGATATCTCCTTTATCAAAAGCAAACAGGTCCTGAAATCCATTTCTCTGGACACAGAGGGCAGCAGTAGCAGAGGAGTGGTGGATTTCTGTCATGTCTGTAGATTCCCACAAACTCTTGTTTCCATGGGAATGAGAAAGCAAGGCTGCTTCCAAACAGATTGGTGGTTTTAAAATCCCATCTCTTCTGAAACTTTTCATCTATCTGTTTCTATTGTGCTGAACTCTGCTTTGGAGCATCAGAATAGAAAGGCAAGTAACAGCAGAAAGAAAAAGACATTGTCTGTTCCTATTCTGTCACTATATTCTATTCTAAAGGTGGAAAATGGGGAAAAATAAAACCAAATAATATGATACTGAAAAATTGAACATCATTATTTTCATATACCATGTGTATTTACAAACATGTTGTGATTGGTTACCAAAACATTCTTAACATTTGTGTCTCCCTTCAATCTTTACTTACTCCTTGTTATTTCAGTGGGTGTTATTTTTGTTTCTTTTTTTTTTTTGTATAATTCCCCTAAAATGCTCCTGTTCTTCGATTTTTTTTCTTGATTTTTCTATTACCTGCAAAACAACCTATGTAGCATAATAATAAAGGAAAAGGTATATAGACAATAAGAGAAAACATCCTCCAAAATATTCACACAATACTAATTTTTTTTTGGTGTGTGTGTGTGTGCGCGCGCGCGAGCGTGTGTGCCAGGGATTGAACCCAGGTGTGCTTAATCACTGAGTCACATCCCCCGCCCTTTTTACATTTTATTTAAAGACAAGGTCTCACTAAATTGTTTAGGGCCTCCTAAATTGCTGAGGCTGGCTTTAAACTTTCAATCCTCCTGCCTTAGTCTCCCAAGCTGCTGGGATTACAGGCATGCACCACTACACCTTGCAATACTAAATTCTTAGCATACTAGAGAAAGATTAGGAAAGAAGATGATGGAGAGAATGCCAATCATATTTTTGGCCTTTTGATAAGCTACTCTGTGTGTTCTTTATTATGAAACCCAATTCTTTTAAGAAAGAAAAATAATCAATAGTCTTCTTTTTTCCATTCCTTGTTTGTTTTATTCTAACATGACTGACATGGTCTGAAAGTAAGTATATGTGCAAGAAAGAAAGAATTATATAATTTACTTGAGTTAATTGCAGAATTAAATACAAATAATGGTGATAAACAAGGGAAATGTATATGGAAAGTACTACTAAACCAATCTTTCATATCTTTTTATACCCCTGCTTTTTGACAGTGCCTCCCAGACTGACTTCCTGCTTGGTTATGTGACCTGTCTTGGCCAATGAGGTTATAAACAACGCTGACGAAAGCAAGAGCTTCAAAAATTATTCACGTGATTAGGAGAGCCATTGTGGAAAATGGTACGGTGGTTTCTCAAAAAATTAAAAATATGTCTACCATATAGTCCAGCAAACACACTTCTAGGTATATATTACAAAGGAAATAAAATCAGTATGTCAAAGAGACATCTGCATTCCATGCTCATTGCCCACGATCCACACAATAGCCAAGATGTGGAACGAACCTAAAAGTCTGTCAGCAGATGAATGGATAAAGAAACTGTGGTTTATATGCGCCATGGAATCCTACTCAGCCTTAAATAAAGGGAAAATCCTGCATTTTGTGACAACATAGATGAACCTGCAAGAGAGTATGTTAGTGAAATAAGCCAGGCACAAAAAACAAATACTGTATATAATCTCACAAGTGAAATCTAAAAAAGTTAACCTCAAAGAAGCAGAGTAGAACTGTGGCTGAGTGGGGGAAGATTGTCAATGAATACAAATTTTCAGTGAGGAAGAATTAGTTCAAAAGATCTATTGCACAATGAGATGACTATAGTTAGTAACAATGTATTGTATACTTGAAAATTGCTAAGATGTGTTCCAAACATGTGGATGAGAACATATGTGCCCAGCCTCTCCAGAAGAGATGTCAGACAACCTGTAGACTGAGGGGAACCAACAGTTGTTTTCTATCACATGTATTACGTGGAAGTAATTTGTTATGCAGCAATAGCTAGCTGATACAGATTAATAATTGATTGAGTATTCACTACATACCAGGCATTCTTTTATGCTTCTTTCATGCATCATTTGATCTTTGTAAGAAGTCTGGCAGTATTACAAACTCCATTTTTAAGATTCCATTTTTAAATTCAGTACATTAAGGCTAATGTATAAAATCTTCAAGATGATTTTAATATGCCTTTAATGTCATAAATATTCTGTGCCATAGAGAGGGAAAATAGTATTTTTTTATTTTACAAATGAAACTCAAGGCTTGCAGAAGTGCTGAAGATTATGAAGGGTACAGTAAATGGCAAAGCAATGCTTTGAACCAGGACTTTCTGATTTAAAATCATTAGTGCTCCTTCCACCACATGCCTTATCAGAGCATACTGGGTTTGGAGAAGGTTATTCAGGACTGAGGAAATACAAAATAAAATGACATATGTATATTTTTGTCACCTTCTGAGTGGGTTTTGTGTTGTGTAGATTTTCTTTTATTGAAAAGTTCACCTTAATAAAGATGGAAATGAAAAGTTATTCCTGTTCTCTTTTGTTCAAAGTGTGGCAGAATAAGGCTTGGCCCATCTAAAAGAACCAGCTCTTCCTATTGTACAGTTTCTTCTTCCTTCCAGAGCACCATAAACATGGCATTTAAAAATGATCTGAAGGACTATATCATTCATTCCTTTAATCAATGATAAAATTGTGCTCATAATAGCTTTTATTCTAGACTTAGATGGCTTCTGTTTGGCAGTAATGAAAAATTAATATTGGGCCTGCCCTCCCATTATAAACAACTGTAAAACTAGACAAAATATGTGTCACAACTGTTTTCAGGCAGGAGGAAAGAGAAAATGGACTGGGATCCTTGAGACACAGAATATGTAAAGAGTGAGCCCATGTTCACACCCGCTTTTTGCTTAGAGACACTTTCCAAACTAAAGCATGAAAGATGGAGCCCAAGTAAAAGGAAGTGGCCATGCTGACCTGAGGAGGCAGAGTAAGAGTGTGGGTCTGTGCATGTGGCTGGAATTTATTGAACAAAGTACTAGACAGGACAGAGTTGTACCAAAGGGAAGCCATGGAAGTCTGCATGAGAATTCACCTTGTGGATTGTGCATGGGCATGTGAGATGTCATGAGGCTTAGCAAGGAGTGGCTACTGAGGGCTGAGAGCTCAACAGGGTTACCAGGGGTTGTACAATTCTGAAAAATATTGGAGTTCTATCCCTACTAGAGTGCAAAGAATAGCACCTTGGACATTCAGTTAAGACTCAAGAAAGGCTCCACCTTAGGAATAATGACCACATATCAGGAAAAGGGCCATAGCTTAGGAGTAAGGTAAACTGTCAACCTAAATATAACCTAACAAAGCCTAAGTCAAATTTGAAAATATTTAGAGGATCCTCCAATAATCTGCCTATCTGGCAGAGTCACACTCCAGCCCTTTCAAAGGAGAATTCATAATTTAAACTCCCTATAAAGGGTCATCCACAATGTTCAGCACACAATATAAAATTTGTAAACATTCAAAAGAACAAGAACAAGATGTTGGCCCAACATCAAAAGAAAGTCAGTCAATAGAAACATATTCCAAAATGATCCAGATGTTTGAGTTATCACATGAGGACTTGAAAACAACTACTGTGAACTTGTTTTAATAATTATGTAAAGAGATATAAACAATTGGGCTGGGGATGTGGCTCAAGCAGTACCGTGCTCGCCTGGCATGTGTGCAGCCTGGATTCAATCCTCAGCACCACATACAAACAAAGATGTTGTGTCTGCCAAAAACTAAAAATAAATATTAAAAAATTCTCTCTCTCTTTTTTTCTCTCTCTCTCTAAAAAGAAGAAAAGATATATTCTTAAAAAAA